TTGCGAAGTCAGTGCTGATGATATCTCTCCAGGGATTTGAGGTGTCTGCCATACAGGACCCACGTTTCTGATACACACAGGAGGGTGGGCACCACAGCTGCATTGTAGACCATGAGATAGGTACTGGGTTTGAGATCTCAGACTTTAAACACTCTGTTCCTCAGGCATCCGAAGGCTGTACTGGTGCATTGGAGTCGATGTTGGATTTCATTGTCAATGTCTGCTGACACCAAGAGGAGGCTCCAGAGGTATGGGAAATGATCTATGTTGTCCAGTGGCTGGCTGTGGGTTTTAATGGTCAGAGGGCAGTGCTGTGCAGTTGGCTGGATAGCTGATTTGCAATATAGAGTGATGTGAACGTTGTAGGTTCAATTCCCACACCAGCTGAGGTTACTATGAAGGACTCTCCTTCTCAACCTCTCCCATTACTTGAGATGTGGTGACTCTTGGGTTAAATCACCACCAGTGATTTCTGTCTAATCAGACAGCAGCTCTGTGGTCTGGTAAGATAATGGTGACTTTATCTTTACTCTGTGTCAGGAGCAGGCTGGTAGATGACCCTTGTTTCCCAGATGTTTAGTCTGAAGTCCATTTTCTCATAGCCCTGGATGAATGCGTTGATGCTGGTTTGTAGCTCGAATTCAGGTTGCCTGTGAACTGCAGCTCGGTGACAGAGGTAGGGGTGGTCTTGATTTAGGCCTGGACGTGAGGAAGGTTGAACAGTTTCCTGCTGGTCCTGTAGGTTAGCTCCACTCCAGCAGGGACGTTCATGGAGATGGGGTAGAGTGTTTCAATGATTTGACTTGATTTATTATTGTCACTGTACCTAAGTACAGAAGAAGGGGTGCTGTTGTGTCTTCTTGATTGTCGCATCATTGTAGGCGGTCCGGGACAGATTGTTGGTGATCGTCATTCTTAGAAAGTTGACGCTGTCGACCGTCTCCACCTCGGCTCCACTGATTTGAATGGGGGGGGGGTGGTGTTGCCTTCCTCCTTGCTTCCTTAAGTTAGTGATCAGCTCTTTAGGTTTGCTGACATTCAGGAAGTGATGGTTATCTTTACACCACACCACCTAGCAATCCATCTCTTTCCTGTATTCTGTCTCGTCATTGTTTTATATCCGGTCTACAACAGTGGCGTCATCAGTGAACTTACAGATGGAGTTCCGATAAAATTTGGCCACACGGTCATAAGTGTACAGGGAGTACAGTAAGGGGCTGAGTACACATCCGTGTGGGGTACTAGTGTTGAAGATTGTTGTAGGGGAGGTGTTGTTGCCTATTCTCACTGTTTGCGGTCTGTGGGTCAGGAAGTTGAGGATCCAGTTGCAGAGGATGGAGCAACAACCTATGTCTGGGAGTTTGGAGATTAGTTTGTTTGGGATTATAGTGTTGAAGGTGGAGCTGTAGTCAATAGTCAATATAGCCTGACTTAGGTATCACAGAAAGGTGGCAATGGGCTGTGAATAGCAAGATGACATTGAGAGCATTTGAGTCAAAAGCTACGTCTTGGTTGAGGAGATCCTTGAAGTGCTCTTTCCAGTGACTGAGCACTGCCTCCAAGTCTTTCATGGTGACTCTCAGTGGAGTCTATCCCTGGGCACTCGGACTGGAGATGGCTTTGATTGTATGGAAGAAGCACATTGCCTTTGATGGTGAGTTGTTGAGTCTTGTGTGCTCTTTCCAACCACAGCCAATCTTTAAGTCAGGGGTGCACTGTTGCAACTCAGCCTTCAGTTGCCAGTGGACATGTTTCCTCTCCCTTGAGCTTTCACGGAGCCGCCAGTTCAGAAATACCTTGCTTCTGCAGTCTCGGAGATCCTGGATCTCCTGATTGTTCTTCAGTCATGGTGTTAACTGGTCGATAGACTGAATGTCTCCACGCAGATGCTGACTATGGTGACTTTTACAGTGGACCAGACACAGTGGGCACTCTGCAGCCCTGGCACATTGGTCATCGCCAGGTTGGCTGTGAGGTGTCACCTGAGTTGATCTTTCTTCTCAGGGTCTTTGAGTCCATCAGCTTTGAGTTTCCTGTGGCAGAGGTTTGTTTTCTGCCAGTTTGGGGCCAGGTTGATGGAGATGGTGGAGCAGATTAGTTGGGAGTCAACCCAACATTCATCAGCTCCAGTCATGGTGCGGGCAACGAGGACATCTTTGAGGTCCCCCGCTCAAACGATGATGTTGTCTACTAGTGCCAGTGCCTGGAGCAGGGTTGTTGCCATGTAGTTTTCTCATTGTCCCTCTGGTAGAACAGAATGATTGCTATGACAAGGTCATGTTGTAGGCAGCTCATCAGGAGGACGATTCTGATGGAGTTTGTTTTCCACAGGAACTGATTTTTGAATAAAATGTTCGACCAAGTGCCCATCTGCCCTCTCAGGTCACCCAAGAGATGTCATGGCACTCTATTGTGAAGAAGAATGGGTGAATTCTCTCCTTCGACTCAATCCATATTTATTCCTCAATCCAACACCAACAGATCCAACTATCTGGCCATTATCACATTGTTCTTTATGGGAAGTTTAGCTGATGGTTTTCCTATATTGTATCAATGACTACATTTCAAAAACATTTCATTAACTTTGAGACACTCTGAGACACCTTAAAGATGCTGTGTAAATGCAAGTCTTTCTTTTCTTTTTACTAATGATGTAAGTCACCTCAATAAACATGAGTTAAGTTCTAGCCTCACAGAATGGACAGGGTTTCCTTAAGAAAATCAACAAATATTCATTAAAACAAAGAGACAAGAGAATTTGTTCTGAGGATTCAGGATACTTAAAACAATTCTATCTTTCAGTCAGTTCTGTGGTTATTTTTAGACAGCTACAGCTACAAGCCACTATCAGTGTTTCAGTAAAAGTACTGGTCATGCCTCAACCATTTTATATTCCATAATGTTGTGACACAAACTCCACAGAAAGAATCAGTCAGTATCTTGAGCATTTCAATGTCACAAGTTGTTGAAATTATAAGACCAGTGTGCACCGGGAACATAGTCACAGCTACTCTGCGCACAAGCAAACTGGCAGAATAGCTTTTGTGTGTATTGTTCTCTAGAGACTGACATTCCTGAGGCATAACAGATAATTCAGCTGTCACGTTGGACACAACTGAAGAGATTCCTCCACATTAGACATCACAGGCCTGACTGCAGTTTGGCGTGAATTCTACACCATTCCCTCGGTCTGGCATGATGTCCTTTCAGCAATCTGTTCTCCAGTGTTAATGCCAGCATTTCGTGATCTCCATTGGGTAGTTTAAAACATTTGAGGAAAGGTCAGGATTGGAGAATTCCAGAAATTAGTGTAGTCTTAAAAAGTGGTATTGATACAATCCATATTTATTCTAAAGAACAATTGATGAGAAATATTACTGGAATCAGCACTCCAAGAAATTCCTTTTGTTGTTAGTTTGCACAGTCAGTATAACAGTCTGTATGGTCAAAGAATATATTAGGTGAAAAAGAGATAATAACATTGTCAATTTATTGCTTAGGCATAAAACTTGGATTTTGAGTCAGCCCAACATTAAGTCAAAACTATCTCATTTTTATTTCTTCTGATTTCAGGAGGTGAACAATCTGGATGCCAGCTTTATTTTATGCCAAATCAAAATCTACAACTCCACCTTCCTACAATCATTTCATAGAAGTCAGCTCTTACAACTGTCCATTTCTGGTCTATCAGAACATTAGGCTGACTTAAAGAAAGTATTCCCGTTACCCGATTTCTACTGCTCCCAAGTAAAATTTAAACACTTAATAATGCAAGGCTCATATAATGTAGATTATATTTCCACTGAATAGATTAATTCACTCAGGATAATGCAAAGTCTGAGTGTGTTATTGACATGGATGAACTGCAGTCACTTTACAGATGATTAGTGCATCATTTGAATTGTCCCAAACAGATTAGTGAATGGCTCACAAGCTGAAAAGTGGTACACATAGAAAACTGGAAAAATTGGGTGTGTTAAACTTCTCCTGTTCTTTCAAGGGAATTGGGGCATGATTGGCAAGGCCAACATTTTCTACCCATCTCTAACTGGCCTTGAACTCAGTGGTTTGCTTGATCATTTAAGAGGGCAGCTAAGAGCCAACCATCTTGCTATCCAGTGTCTGGAGTCACATCTAGGCCAGATCAGGTAAGGATGGCAAAGGACATTGGAGTGGACGTCAAGATTAGATACGTTCCCTTAGAGTGATAGGACAAAATCTATGTCCATTGTAGCATAGTGGGAGGTACAGCTCGCAAATCTATTGGTGGTGGAGAAAGTACCAATGACTTTTTACACATATATACTCAAAACTGCTGCAGTATTACACTTTTGTTACAGATGATTCAGTTTTCAAACGCAGCTTGGATTTTTAAAATGACCCTTGCAACTTCTACTTTTGCTTTTTTTCTATGATTCATTCATGGGATGAGGTCATCATTAGCTAGGCCAGCATTTAATGCCCATCCTAAATTGCCCAGAGGGCAGCTAAGAGTCAGCCACATTGCTGTGGGTCTGGAGTCACATGTAGGCAAGACCAGTTAAGGATGGCAGCTTCCTTCCCTAAAGGACATTAGTGAACCAGATGGGTTTTTCCCAACACACAATAGTGGATTCATGGTCATCATTAGATTCTTAGTTCCAAATTTTTTTTATTGAATTTGAATTCCACTCAAGTCCTAAAAACATTAGCTGAGTTTCCAAGTTAATTGTCTAGCAACAATGCTACTAGGCCATTGCCTCCCCTTTTGTTTAACAAGCAAAGGAGTATAGTAAGCTGACAGCAGGTGTTCTGTAAGTCTGGGAGCAGGGATCTGGAGAAGTCAAGGACAGTAATGGAGCATCATAAACAACACAATGTTACGACATTTGCGACTGCTTCCTGGACTTAACCAGTACAGTTGTTAAGATCCAATGCACTGAAGTATTCAATATCATCTGTTTTCTTGCTTTGAAACAAATGAATACTTATTTCTAGCATGAGGCTAAATAATCACTTACCAAATTCTGCCTTCCCCATCTCTGACTATCTATGTCTCTGGCTGTCATTATCCAGGGTCTCCAGAGGGGTGAATGACTGGAAGATGGGTAGAAAGATGAATGTCATATAAAGCAAAAGGATGAGCTGAAACAGGTTCAGCTGTGTGTCTCCACGAAGAAATCTCACCTTTACAGCATTAAGATGTTCTTAATGTTCTTATATGGCATTCTACAACTGCAGGAAGATGTCTTTAAGTGGCAATTAAGTGTCATTTCCCCCCAGAAAATTGCAGGTGTACAGAGGATTACAGAGGAGCTGTGTTCATGTAAAATCTAAGAAATTTTAAATCTAAAAATGTAGCTTTTTTAGAAAGGAAATCTCCTTTTCTTTGCCACTGCCCAGGTCACTATCACAACATTACACTATCCTTAGATCATTGGAAAAATAATAGCCAGGGTTTGATTGTGGTAATGTTAGCTTGGTAGATCATTATTTTGCACAATAGTGCAAAGCAGGTGACACAAGACACTTGAAGTGAATGGAGTTAAAGATTAGAAGAGCTGTAGAATCATCTGGCAGCTCACTATCTCCACTTCACTCTCCAAATGAAGATATGTATCTTAAATTTTCATTTTGCTCATGGTCTGTTCTTTGAATCCAAGTTATCACACTCAGATTATCCTTTGAACAAAGTTTCAAACTCACGCTCAAAAGATTTAATCAAGAACTTGCATAGAACTCCCTTAAGATTACATGTTAAGCATGACCCCTGGTCTCATACAGGCTCCACAGTCCAGGTAGGTCTCAGATTCACAGACACTCATCACAAAGGACTATACCAATACAATTTACCCCCTGGCAAAAATATGAACTCAAAGTCATTATACAGTGACCCCTGCTGGATGGGGAGATAGGTTCATGACAGGCACATCCGTGATTCCCAACATGACCAAATAATTTGTTATCAGTCATAACAACGTGTAGAGCTGGATGAACACAGCAGGCCAAGCAGCATCAAAG